AAGGACCTAGCCATGGAGGGCTAAAATTGAGAGTGAAGTGACGAGCTGATATGAAGTGAGGGGAAATGCACAAGATCACCCAAACTTGCAGATTGCACACATTTGCCTAGCTTCAATGGCTTGATGATCAGAACTTGACTAGAGGAAGATAAAGAAATTTGATAAAGGAAACAAATGTAAGTTGTTATAATTTGATAAACTTGACCTATATTTATGGATATAGTAGCTCAAAATACCAACTGAGAGGGAAGGAGTCTTCACATCAAAGATCAAACCTATCTTCTTTGTGCACAGGGTTGATAGTTTTTTCATTTACCTTACCTCCCTCCATACACATGAAAGAAACAAATTCCTTTCCTGTACTAATACAGCTAGTGATTGTCTCCAATATTGCAGAGTTGACCATGTTATACATTAGTAAATGTGTCTTAGGATCAACTGCTTTTTCCTGTAAAAGACAAAACTATAAGTGAAAATTACTAATGAACAAAATGCGTTTTCTGAAAGAAAAAAAAAGGAAGAGGGCATGAAAAGACATTTCATCAAAGAAGACATTCAGGTGGCTAACAAACACATGAAGAAACTCTCAAGATCATTGGTTACTAGAACACTGCAAACCAAAATGAGAATTAATAGCAAAGTTAAAATAAAGAAAAGAAAAAATGCTTGTGAGAGTTTGGAAAGACTGAAATATTCTTATACTGCTGGCGGGACTGTAAAATGGTACAACTATGAAAAATGGTATGCAACTGCCTCAAAAGGTTGAAAATAGAAATACTATATGACCCAGAAAACCTTTTACTTGGTATATATTTTCAAGAAATAAGAGCCATGACATGAATAGAATAGCTATGTGCACACACCAATGTTCATCACAGTACTATTCACAATAGCAAAAAGATGGAGACAGTCTTCATTTCCATCAATAGAAGAATGGATAAACTTGGATGCAAACACACAATAGGATACTATGCAACATTAAAGAATAACAATGAATCTGCAAAACACCCCATAACACAGATATTACACTGAGTGAAATTAGTCAATCACAAAAAGACACAAATATTGCATGTAATAACTAATGTACAAAATCAAGAAAAGGTTTCCATACTAAAAGAACGATTCTTTGAAGGTTATCAGGTGTGGGAGGGAAGGGGCAATAATTCACTGGCTAGAGGGTAGATGTAGGTTAACTTGGGTGACTTGGAGGTAAATACTGTTATATACACAATCCTGCAATAACAGTGATCTACAGGCAGATACATGGATAAATACACAGGGATAATGGGTGTAGGAGGGACAGTGGGAAGATTCCCACAAATATAGTAGGGTTTGACAGAGGATATTTGTACATGCTAAACGGGCATTTTACCTTTGCTGCAAACATATCCATGAAGGTGGTAGAGCATACAGAGAGTGAAATTATGAAAACTTCTTAGACATTACCAACACCTTGCAAAAATGAATTGGGTCTGGGGGTCTCAAGGGACATTATGGTCAATAGGCATAACATAGTCCACAAACACAATGTTCCACAGTATAATTTTATGAGTAGAAACTGGGATCTTCAAAGTTTATGTTTAGAAAAGAATGATGAAATCTAAGATGCTTGGAAACTATTAGACCGATGGACTAATGGAAGTCATAAACATCAATCTCCATGACCCTGAGACCAGAATAACTAGATGGTGCCTAGCTACCACTATCAATTGTTCTTAAAGGAATCACATTATAAGGCCCTGAATAGAGTAGGAGAAATACAGAACAAAACTCAAAACCATAAAAAATACAGAAGGAACCCAAAGATTATGGTCCTTGGTTACCATCATGTCTCAATTTTCAACCAAGCTATAGATAGGTGTATGGGAGGGATAGCAACACTAGTGAAGTATGCACACCATTTAAGATCAAAAGGGAAGCACTTACTAAAGACAAAATTTAAAAGGGTTGAGAAAGAGGAGGAATGGAAACAATACTAACAGGGTAGAAATGGGGTAAGGATGTTACATTGAAAGGATTGCAATCACTGAGACGAAATATAAGTATATGATTTTTTAAATGTGAAAACTGATGTTCTCCCATGTAAACTATCACTCAATTCACAATAAAAACTTTTTTTAAAAAAGAAATGGGAGTCATTGCTAAGACTATAGTATACACATTTTTTTGTCTACTAATGTTAGCACATTTAAAAAAAAAATTATTGTGAACTGAGTGAAAGTTTGTACAGCAGAACATCAATTTTATACTCATCCTATCGTATTTCGTTTCATTGTAATGATTACAATCCCGTCCTTGCATCATCATTCAACAGTATTTGCTTCTATTCCTTCTGTGTTTTTTTGGGGGGATGGATACAAAATCACTCATGAATATATAACCATTTAAATAACCCAAGGGTACATTCTATAAACCTGCCTCCTGGCCGCCAGCATACAGCCTTTCTCTTTCCATGAGTCTAACATCCTTAGCTGCTCTATCTCTCCATGTCATCATCTCTGCCTCCATCTCTGGTGTCACAGCTTCTCTGGATAGGGTCCCACATTCTGCTCATGCTCTTCTCCCTTGATGATCCTAGGGTCCTCTGTTTCTGGAATGTAAGATTAAATCCTCCCCTCTTTAAGTTACAAAACGTCTATCTTTACAGTTGAGACAACCGCAATTAGTCATGGTAACAATTACTCACTATTGAATCATAAGAATCTTACCCCATCAAAAATGGTTGAAGCCAACCACTCTGAAAGCTCTTCATTGGAGGGCTCAATACAGAAACCAACAAGAAAGCCCTGGAAGCAATATTTGGCAAATATTGACAAATTGTCGAAATACTCTTGATGAAAGACTGTGAAACCAACAAATCAAGAGGATTTGCTTTCGTCACCTTTGAAAGAACAGCAGATGCCAAAGTCCTTCTATGGGAAAGCTATCAAGGTAGAACAAACCACTAAACCAACATTTGAAAGAGGCAGCTGTGGATCCCCACCACCACCAAGATGCAGAGGCTCACCAAGAGGCTTAGAGGTGGAAGAGGAGGCAGTGGAGGACTGGGGGGGGGGGCGTCATGTGGGGGGACACATGGATGATGATGGTTATTCTATGAATTTTAACATGAGTTTGTCCAGGGGACCACTTCCAGTAAAAAGGAGACCACCACCACCCTTCTCCTAAAGGATCAGCTCCAGAACCACCTTTTCCTAAAAGACGAGGGGCAGTTCGCAGTAGCAGTGGAATGGGAGGCAGAGTCCCTGTATCCTGTGGAAAAGATAATTATGGAGGACCACCAAGAAGGTAACTCCTGCCCTCCTGCAGAGATGTGTATCTGTCACCAAGAGATGATGGCTATTCCACTAAAGAATACTCAAGTTCTCATGATATAAGAGATTATGCACCACCACCAAGAGATTATACATATCGTGATTATGGTCATTCCAGTTCACAAGATGACTATCCATCCAGAGGCTACAGTGATAGAGACGGCAATGGTTGTGATTGTGAGTATTCAGACCATCCAAGTGGAGGCTCCTACAGATTCCTATGAGAGCTATAGTAACTCACATAGTTCTCCACCTACATGAGGGCCCCTGCCATCTTATGGTGGAAGCATTCACTATGATGATTACAGCAGCTTGCGAAATGGATATGGTGGAAGTCGTGATAGTTACTCCAGCAGCCGAAGTGATCTCTACTCAAGTGGTCGTGATTGGGTTGACAGACAAAAAAAAGGGCTTCCCCTTTCTATGGGGGTGATTCCTACAGTAGTTCAAGACATGGAGCACCAAGAGGTGGTGGCTGTGGAGGAAGCCAATCTGATAGAGGGGGAGGCAGAAGCAGTTGCTAAAAACAAACAAAACTTTGGACCCAAATCCCTGTTCAAAGAAACATAAAGTGGAACATATTCAGTCATAACTACCCAAGGACTCTTAAAAGGAAAAATTGTGTTACTTTAAAAACAGTTTCATGTTAAGTACTCCTTCATAAGTTTTATGTTTCTTGTGAGGAAAAAGTAAAACCTGTTTAATTTTATTTGATTTTATGACATTGCTTTCAATAAGCAAATGTTAAATGTGTAAGACTTGACTTGTGTACTAGTGTTGTAATTCTCTTAAGTGTCCCTGAAGGCCACTTCCTATTCGATTTTTCCCAGTAAATGAGGCAAGCAATACTAAGATGTTTCACAAACATCTAGCCATCTAAAATGGAGAGATGAATCATTCTGCTTATATAAACAAGCTAGATATTAGAAGGGTGGTTGGGTTTGCTACTCTTAAGATTTCAGGGTGTCTTCAAACTGAAATTTCAATGTTCTCAGTGTGCAAACCCTGAGATAGATGCTTAAGTTAAAAAAAAAAAAAAGAAGAAGAAAGAAAAGAATCTTATCCCCATCTTCTTTCACCAGACCTGTCTAGACAAGATGAAAACTATTCAGTGGGGATTCTACCTTTCCCGCTTCGCTCTGAAACTAAACTCCCTCTTGAAAACTTGCAAGCCAGATACTCTGTGCTTTTATAGTGTCCCCTGCCCACCCCGTTTTAGGTAGCCAATGACTAAGTGGCCCATCCCTCAATGACTCCCATTTCTTGACAGCCTCTTATCTGTTATGCATTTTATCTGTGCCCATTCTAATCCACACAACAATCTTGAACTGTAGACATTAGTATTATTATTTTATAGATGACCAAACAGAGGCTCAGATAGCATTGCATAACATTGTATAGCTAAGTAAGCAGAACTGAGATTCAAAGCCTGGTTTAAATGACAGCAAAGCCTGTGTTCAGCTCTCTCACTATACCTTGGCATCTCCCCCTAACTGAAAAACTTAGATACTTGATGAGTCTTGGAGAATATATATAAACATCAGTGCAAAAGCACATTCCTCAAATCATTCAATCTGCTCAGAACTAAGAACTAAATAACTGGGATTGGATTTAATACATTTATATGCTGTTTCTTTGAAGTCTTACCATGTGGTCCAGTACTCTGAAAATCTAGTAGTTACTTACTTGACCAAGTGTCTTATAAGAAGTTCCAGCATCTCTCGGTTATTTTCTGGTAGCTTATATACAAGAGAGTGAATAGCTCCCAGACGGTAATCCAGGTTGTCAGATTCTGAGAAAACAGTAAGAGTAATAATTTGACTTTCTGAGCAACTGGATTAAACAAAATGTTATACACATACAGACACACACAAAAACTATACACACATACAGATAGAGTGATACAGAGATACAGAGACAAAGAGATGAAAAGAGAGAGAGAAAAAATAAGCAGAGACACAATGACAAAAACCAAGAAACTATCAACAGCAACCATGACAACAACAAAACACAGAGGCAAAGAGAAAGAGAGAAACTAAAAGGCAAAGATACAGGGAAAAAAAGGACAGATTTAGAAAAATGACAAGTAAAATAAAAAGAAGCAAAACTATCACAGAAAAAAAAATCAGAATTTTGGACACAGCAGTTTGCTCCTGAAGCCCCACATGTAAACCCTTTCTTATTGTATTTGTAGTTATGTTGCTACCGCTGGGTTTCCATGAAATTCACCGAGAGAACTCAGAAGTGAAGACCAAACAACCCTAACACTGACGAAGACATATTATGAGGACAAGTCCCTAAATTTTTCCTGCACACATCACAGGGGACGTGGAGGTAGGGAGAAAGGATACTCATACAGTGGCCTCAGTCAAGACTTTCAATACTTCAGCTGCCCATTTTTGGAGTGTTTCTATATGCTTAATCATGTCCCTGCTCCAACATCAGCCTCTGGTATTTTGCTAGAAAATGTGATGCTACAGCTAAAAGATTCAGAGCAGTGATTCACAACACAATTGAAACATTTTTTTTTTTTTTAAATCAAAATATTGAAGAGAAGTTAGAATTTTACCAGTAATGAAACCATTTTTGCTGTTTTCTGTTACTGTGAAACAATGCTTTTGTTATGATGGAAGAAGCAAAATCAATCAATAAAATCCTCCCATCTATCACATCCTTCACGTTGATAAATTTTCTGCCACCCACTCAACTAACATTGATTTACAAAAAAATAATACAACTTTTAGTTAGACAAAAAGCAAAAATACTCTCATCTGGCTGTGGACAACAACTGTGTACACATTTTTGCTTTTCTCCCAGTTACTTTCCCTCAAAGAGTTTGCTAGGGCTTATTGCTGTAAACATTAGTAAGGAGTCAAGACAACACTATTAGCTAGTAACATAAATACTTACTGGCAGCAGAAACCAGTTCTTTGTGCAGTCTATAGGTCATGACAGGTTCTGAAAGATTCCTGAAATTAATGAAGATTGTTAAGTTCCTTTGTGGAGGGTACCCAAGCATTGAATTTTCAGTTCTATGGACAGCAAGTTTCTGAGCCCCTAAGCTTAGAGTGACTCCACACATTTTCCTCTTCACCTGAGACTAGGTCATTGGAATACAAATGACCAACAAATCAATTGAAGACCTCTAGCAAAGTACCCATTAGTTCCCCAAAGTAAAAGATTGCATAAACTTAGCCTGCAAAATTCTGAAGTGGACCCACTATGAATGCACCTTACAATTTCATAATCCCTTAGAATTTCCCAAGTATTCTTATATACATCCTCCCACTTGATCCTTCCAATGAGGCTGTGTGGTAGCAAAGCTATTCACATTGTCATTTAATAGAAGAAGAAATTGAGACTTAAATTGGTTTCTTTATAATATTAGCCGAGCATTGTGTTTGTAATGCAGGGATGAATAAAACATAGTCCAAAGCCCCATAGAGTGAAAAGTTGAGGACTGTACAATATAATGGGATGATTGCAATGCAGTGGGACAATTATGATGATAAAACAAAGGCACACATCTAGGAGGAAGGAAGCGATCTACTATTACTACTATACTACTACTACCTCAAATGGCAATAGTGAATGCTTTACTCTTCTAAGTGATTTACACATATCTAACTATTTTTAAGCTCACAACAAATTTATGGAGGTACTCATTATCCCCATTTTATAGATAAGGAAATTCCAGTCCAGAAAAGTTAAATTGACGATCACACAGCTGGCAAATGATAGAACCAAGCAATATCTGTCTCGAGTCCTTACTAAGCTACACTGCCTGTCATTATTGTTACTACTATTATTGCAGTAATCTGGGTACAAGATAATAGAAGCCTAAGTGTGGCATTGTAGAATAAAGCACTGGACCGCAAGGTTGGTTTGAACCACACAGTCAGCAGTTCAAACTCCCTAGCTTCTCCTTGGAAACCCTATACAGGGAGGATCACTATGAGTTGAAATTGACTTGACAGCACTAACAACAACAACAACAACAAAGAGAAACAGGGGCTTTAAGGATAGAAAGGAAATTTGGAGTGATTTAAAACATGGTAAATGCAGAAGTCCTTCACTGATGGTACATGATGATGGGGACAGAATAATCTGGTTTGGGTGACTGAATAGGAAGTGGTTTCAAGAGAAAAAAGATGTTAGTTCAGAGGAGTCTTTGAGGTATCCAAGGGTATATGTCTATTAGGAAGTTGGGTGCAGGACTAAGATTGTTGTTGCAGAGGTTAGGTGTTGTCAGGTCGGTACCAATTCATAATGACCTATGCAAACAGAACGAAACACTACCCGATTCTATGCCATTCTCATAATCTTTGTAAATCTTGAGCCTATTACTGCTGCCACTGTGCCAATCCATCTCCTTGGGGGTCTTCCTCTTTTTGAATGATCTCCACATTACCAAGCATGATGTCCTGGTCCCTCTTGATAATACGTCCAAAGCATGAAAGATGATATCTGGCCATCCTGGCTTCTAAGGAGTATTCTGGCTATACTTCTTCCAACACAGACTTTTTTGTTATTTTGAAAGGCCATGGTACTTTTTTTTTTTTTTTTTAATTTAAGGTTTTTATTGTGGATTGAGTGAATGAAAGTTTACAGGGCACATCATCCGTTTCACATTCAACAATTCACATAACTTGTTTCATTACATTGATTATAATCCCCTCCATATACCATCAGTTAAAAGTATTTCTCTTTATCCACTTTAGCTTTTTTTTTTTAAA